AGTTCTGAAAAGCTCTGAACTTCTATGCAATATTTATTCAATTCAGTTCATACACAACTAGAGGTACATCTTAGAAATTTTCTTCACAAAGTAAGAAGTCAAAACTACTATGAATTGGTCAAGTATCAGAGATGTATGTATGGTTATCTGGTTCCTTCTGTTTCTGTAATTAAAATGTAACTATAATATTTCAATACTTTTTCTGTGACCAAGTATTCTTATGATTAGTTGCCAAATTTGTCATTGGCGTTTTTGCTGTGTAAAGCTTTTCCATTTGAGGAAACTCTCACTAAGACTAAATTTGCCTGCGTCATCCTTTAATATGTAGCAGTTCTAATACTTGCTCATGATGCTTCTAGAATGAAGTGCTGATTAGCACCTTTTTAGGATTATTATTCTCTAGAAATGAGAATCCATATTCTTTACAACATAATCATAACACCATATCATCCAATGATAAGGGTTACAGTTCTCCCCTAATCAAAGATGGTAAAATATTGAAAGGCCATTTTTCCCAGTGAAGTGTGTGCTTGGTAGATTAAACTTGTCATTGATTTGCATCTCTTTATTCGTGGAAGGAAACCTGTTTTCCTTCGGAGTATCTGTAAAACTAAGTATTGCAGTTCAGTTAACTAGCCTACTATTTTTTGTGATTTCTTGTGCTCCTCTTCCTAATCTTTATTATTTTATTTTATTTTACTAGTATCTATGAACGTGCGTTGCACGTTAATAATGGCACATGATGATTTAAATATTTATTTATATGAAGGAGCAGCAAAATTTAATTAATGAGAGGAATTTTATGTATAATAATACAACAATCATCTAAATGCCGAAAATTATTATTACATTAGCATAATACATGAATTTAAAATAAAAGGACATTATCAAAACTTACACAAATAATCAGTTTTGTCATGTCAGTTGGATAATTATGTGTTATAGTTTAAAAGTATTTAATGTGATGGTATCTTAACGAACACTTCTTTGTGGACAATATTTTTTTGTGTATGTTTTCTCCTAATGCTTTGGTCGCTCTGTCTTAACCAGAACTCTTGTTGTCGATCTTGATATCTCTCTTCAAAGTGCAACATACAGTTGTTCATGCAAGAAAATACATTGCGGTAAATATAGTCCAATATTTAGGATGTTTGTCCTTGTGCTTTATTTATTATATTTGCAAAACATAAACATACTAAAAATTATTTTCACACAAATTTAAAAGGACATTCCTTAGTTTCGGAAGACAAAAGTTGAATTCAGAGATAAGAATATACTTAGAACATTGACCAGTATCATAATTTTTGCATGTATGACGTTATTGTCAAAACTTTTATATACCATTTGTGTGCTATTACATAAACTATTCGGCGTATCTAAGTTTTTCAGTAGCATGACGAGCATATATTTCTTCAGAATCAACTTACATACAATGGAAGATCAATTTTAACTTAGTCTATTATATAAACGGTGACACTAACATACGTAAGAAATAATAAGCTTAACGACAAACATGTTTGGTAGAAGGTCATTTGGTATTAAAGTATAAGTACTCTTCTTTAGTAGTAATTATTGGTATCATTTTCTGCTAAGTCAAAAATAGAAAAATATTTTATTTTCACTATAAAATTTTGCAACCAACCTTTTATTTAGTTGATCAACATATTTATTTCTGCTAGCTAAGATATCTTTTTAATTCTATCATGCGATTTGCACAAATTGCGTTTTAACTAATGATAGAAATATTTCTCTTATTAAATGCACTACTATTACTATTGGGATTGATAATCAAGTGTTTAGGAAGAACCAAATCATCTTTTATTGGATGCTCTTCTTCGTTTCCGACGCGAAGCAAGAAGACACTGAATACTGTATCTGATCTTACTTTATATTTTTTGTTAGTTGAATCTATTTCATTTGAGGCTAGAAGTATAACTTTGACAAGCTAGCTTTTACAGTCTTTGCTTTTGTCGATTTTTGGAACTATTGGTAGTACTCGACATAAATCACATCCCAAACCATTAATTTTCCACCAAATGGTTCATTAATATCCAATATATCTCTAGAACTCCGGGCAATTATTTTGATCGTTTGACACTTAGCCATAAGTGCTTCATCCCATATTATCAATTTTGCTTTCCTTATAAATTTAGCATTATTGCTCTACTTTTTGATATATTTGTGATGGTTATTCAAGTTGTTTGAAGAGGTATATCAAATCTATAGTGGGTGACCTCACAATAAAATCATTGTTGGTACACCACTTGCTATTATTGCTAAAAGTGCAATGCCTCTTGATATGATATTTACAAGTAATGCGTGACATAGAAATATTATTTGGATTCGCCGGAGGCATCTATAAAGAATAATCCCGTAATAGGAGAGTTGACTCTTTATAATATAGTCTTGAAAGCTTGTTCTTGTTTTTGGCTTTGATTATGCTTCCTCAGACACTTGTATGGCATTTTGATTCTTAATAATATACTAACATTTTTACTTTGTGTTCTAACACTCTTTTTATGGAATAAATTTATGTAACCTAATTTTAACTTGAATAAGAATTTTACTCATATGATGAATTTAAAAATTTATTGAATTGGATTCTCTTGCTAAATAATTAATTAAAAGATCTAATTATTTGGTTTTAACATAAAAAATAATTTATTCTATGTTGATTCAGATCTTAATATTAATGGTATTGACTCTTACCAACCATTTTTTCCCCTCTTTCTCACACATTTATATTCTTAAATGTTTTCTTAGTTTTGTTTAATAGTTGGGTATTTTTCAATATTACACAAAAAATTGATTTAAAAAACTATTATTTTAGTAAGAAAATATTTTAAATATAATATAAAAATATATTATCGTAGGGGTATTTTTTTTCTCAATTTCAACTCTTTATGCAGTCTATTTAATATTACTTTTTTTTGGTATTGGACATTATAGAGTGATAATTTATTGCCAATACAGAGGATTCTTATGAAATTGATTTTATTAAACCTTCCTACATATTTTTAATAAGAATTTAATAGACAATTTTATTAATTTTAAAATCTTAAATATTAAAAATTGGCATAGAATGTATTGTAGTCCAAAAAATAGGTTATTGCAGTTATGTACTCTTTCTATGAGTTCTCCCGTTTAATAATTTAGGTCTATTTTGATATATTAATATCGTATTTATGATTTTATAATAATACAGGCTCTCCTTTTTCTAAATGAATTTGGACAATATAATACATTCTCAAATTAAATTAGTAATAGAATATTATAATACGTTTTCCATTTAAATTAGTAATAGGAATTTTTAAGAAGTATATCCTGAAAGTAATAGAATTACATGACTAAAGATATTTACTTGTTCAATTTTATATGAATTAGACAGCCCGAAAGTAATTATACTAATAGGATTCCTAAAGGTAATCATGCAGGATTCCTAACGTGTGGTATTATATCCTAAAACTAATAGGATTATAAGACTAATATTTAGAATTCCGATTATGTCCTTTTATTATGAGTTATTATGCTTAATATTATAAGGTTATTTTTGTAAACCGACATTGTATTCATGCTTTTATAATAATATATAGATATAGATTTTAAGTCTTATTGTTAGTCCATTTTGCCTAAACTGGTAAGCATAGTGAACGATATTCATCTGTGGCATTGATGGAAAACCATTTCAAACCCCATCAGAAACAAAAACATCTACTTATGACATTCTTACAGGTGCAAAGTAGGAGACAAGGGAGTTGTGCAAGCAGAACCGCGGCTGGAGCCCAAGAAATACAGGAGACAATCTCGTAAAAGTGTGAACCAGTCATTTCTAGATGGATTGGATGAACTCGATGAAGATGACATGCTGGAGGATGATAATCCTATTTTAAGAGCAATGAGGGAAGAAAATCAATAGAGAAAACAATAATTTGACACAACTTGGATATTTTTAGGAGGCATGCATCCATTACACCCTGATGCTTCACGGGTTGTAAATAGTGCTTTTCTGACTTCTTTTGTTAAGCTGAGAGTGGTCCACGGATTCCTAAGATGATGTAGGTGGCAAAATGTTCCGGCGGCATTTGTGTCGCAAATGCGTAAAACACTTCAAAGTTCAATCGATGCTGGAAGCTAACACGAGATATAGTTACGTCTAATAAGGGAGTTTGCATCACCTTGTTCCCTCTATCTTTTGCATCCTAGTGAATGGGGAGAAGTGGTAATAGCCTAATAGGTATCTTTTTGATCACCTGGTTGCTTCACCGAAGCTTGCTAATTGACACATCTAAAGCTGCTAGCATTTTATCCAGAACTGGATTTTGCTCGTGTCTGAAGTTGCTGATGATGCCCATTTCAGCATGTACAAAGAGGCATCTTTTAAGATATTGAGTATTGACAGTCGTGTCCTTACGGTCGGATTTTATTCAAGAAGACTGAAAAAGATAACAAGAATTTGCTTTAACAATGATTGTTCCGCAGTTATTACAACTATATTCTATCAGATTTAAGTTAAACACCTGTAAGTACCTGGACCAACAATAACCAAGGGACTGCTAAAGGCTAAAATCCGGATGAACAGTTAAAAAGTTGCTACTGCTGGAAAATTCTCGATTTCCTTCTCAGTCAAAGTTGGCAGGTGCGTTTTTCAGATCAAAACATATTTCTACTAAAAAATCAAAAACAAAAAGGAAAAAGTAAAAGTACGAATAATGAGTAGAACATATCTGCATTCCCTGTAAGGAAAATGCAACAAGACATCCCATGCAAGGCGCAGCAATTGGCGACAAGAACGAGCAGGACATCCAACTCAATCTATATTCATTCCGATCTTCCTTTAATACTTACTCTTCACCTTGAAATAGGAATAATATTTTTGCAGATATCAATTTTAGTAGTTTCTGAATATACACTAATGATCTACTGAAGGATGTGGTAAGGACAATATAGGTCATTTTGCGATGGTATGAGAATTATGTGGCGGCTGTTATAAGAGTAGCACAGCAATGTAAAAACTGATTCTTTCTTTAGCCAATGTGTTGACCTAACAACAATCATGCGGGGCAACCAGGTGTTCAGTTCATGTCATAAAAGAAAAGGGAAATAAAGCCGCCAACAATTTTATCCACTACATCACCATAAACCTTTAAGTAGAAGGGACGTGAAAATCAGCTAAATAACCTACTTCTTGGCAGCCTTCTTCTTGGTACTGGGGTTAGTAATCTGTGGCTTTGGATGCTTTTCGGCCTCACTTGGGTCCAACCAACTCAGAGGGTGGCGATTGTAGACTGGCCAGTTAGGAATGGTGACTAGCGCTGTAAAGACAACACCACCAGCGTATACTAACAGCATGATCTGAAACGAACCCAACACATAGCCTGTGATGAATGCTACAACAGAAAAGCTCACCAGCAGTATCTGCATTAATTGCTCCACCAGCTTTTGTCCTTGCCAATCCATCTGAAAATAGACAGCCAAAAAAGGGTAAATTGCACACAATTAGTACAAATTAAGCATAACAAGATTCTTTTATTTATACTTGATCGAATCTTATAAATTTTATAAAGATCAGCTCCTGGTCAAATGAACCTTCCAAGAAAATATTATCTTTCTATTTATTCCAGTTGTCAAAGCATCTGAGCACCCAACACAAAACCTTAAAGCAATGGGTGTGGAGTAGCCCAAGGCCATTTACACCCCTTTGGAAACCCTTACACAACCGACGAGGGCCAAGTGCTATATTTTCTCTTACACAAATCCACTTCGTAAAATAAGAAATGGTGTCACAACGAAAATAAAGACTGCAAGATCAGCAGGACGTAGAGAAATTCAGCACCAAAGATTACTACAGCTCCTTGTACAACATGAAGCTGTGTTCTTTTAGGTCAATCAATGACAGAGGTAGATGCAACACATAAACAGTAGAGTAGGTGCAACTACTGCCTTAGATTTAATATTTTTTCTTTTTTGAAAAGGTAAGGACTTGAATATACACACAACTAAGTGCACCCCGGCTTTGGTTGGAGTTGAAATATATGTATAACAATAAACCTGAATCCTAAACTATTTTAAAAAGACAATATGTATATAAGAACCTTAACAAAAAGAATTTAAATTATGAACATACATTTAAACATGTGCACACAGTATGTGCATATGTCAAGAAGTAGAAGCAATATGCATATAAACCATAGAATCCACCTTTACGACCCGCCCATTGATACACAAATCCATACCCTTTCACATTCAATTGCAACCAGAGATACAATTTTCTCGAAAAAGCATTGAATAAAATGAGTCGACCTGCAGACAATGAAAAGATTCAACCAATGGGCATGCATTTCTCCTTTAAGTATTGGAAGAGAAAACGTTTGATAATATTTGTACAATCAAAGCCCAAAAATCAATCAAAATAAGGAAATGTCCCAATACTTACTAAAAAATTCTAAGAAAATTAAACCCTAATGATTTGTGTATCAATCAGTCACTTAAGAAAATATTTCTTTCACTGCAAATAAGGGTTTACTAACATTACAGTTCTTTTTTTTTTTTTGATAACCGTGGTGTCCGGCCAGCCTGGGCGAACCTCGACTAATTCCACGGGATACCTGCCACCTCCCATTAGCAACAGGTACCACGTAACTAGATAGATGGGAAGAAATTACCCTTGGGTGCCTAACATTACAGTTCTTTAAATCTCAAAGTCACCTTACTCGGGGTTAAATCTGTTTTTAAAAGCAGCAACCGAATAGATCAAACTCACTCACACACGCACTCACCTAAAACCCAATCTGTGAGCTAAAATCATTTGAAATCAATAACGAGTTTCAAAAAGGGGAAAGAATAATCGAAATCAATGAATATTTGTCAGCTAATTTTTTTTTAACTATTTGGGCCGCTTGAATTCCAATTAAGATCCTCTTTATGCAAATTAGGGTTCACAAGAACTAAAGTTCTTTGGATCTCACACTTAACAGGAGCAACTCAATAGAATACGTATACACACACACAGATATATATATATAGAGAGAGATAAACAACAGCGATCTGGGTGGAGGTAAAGGGAGGAGAGAGAGAGAGACTGACCGAGAAGCGAGCAATGCAGAGTCAAAATGACTGTCTGAAATTGTACAAAAGAAGTAATCGTGTGAGAGAGCGATCTCAATGCTTTATATGTAGAAAAAACTGCTTGAATGTTGGCAACCGTACGATCTAGCTACAATATTGACGTAGTACCAAGTAGAAGATATAGGGACCGTTGATCAATCGCAAACCTTCTTTTTTTTTTTTTTTTTTGAATTAATGATGGTGTTAAATCACATGTATACATATTATTCACAATAAAAAATGATCAAATATACCCATTTACTATTGAAAATTATTTAAACTTACTATCCCTTATCTATTATAGTATATATGGACTCTTACCGTAATACATTTGTTCAAAATTACACTTAATTTTAACGAAGGGACACGTGGCACCTCAGAAATAAAAGGTCCAACTCCTAAAAATTCCTAATTTTACCTATTATCTGATCGACCAATATCCTCCACTTAAACAATCCCCTCAATTAAAAAAAAAAGGGAAAAGGGTTAAAACTATCCCTCTACTATGTGAAAAGGATCACTTATGGCCTCCGTTATACTTTCGGTCCACTATTATCCCTAACGTTACAAAAGTGGTGCAAAAATACCCCTCCTTCGTTAGGGCCTTCCACCATGGCTAATATCAGCCTGTGTGGCCTGACATTATGCTGAGGTGAACGCCACATGGCATGCCACCTCACCGCCCAACCCCATTTTACCACCCCCTCCACCTTTTCTTCCACCAATTACCTCTCCCTTCACCCACCCACAACCGCCATCATCACCTCTTTCTTTGACAGCTTGTTTGGATGGTTGTTATGTATCGTTTCATAATGTATCGTATAGTATTGTATTGTATTGTATTGTATCGTATCGTCTTGATGTATACAATGTTTGGATAGATTGTATTGTTTTTCGTCATTTCATGATATTATGCACCAACAATACGAAGAATAAACTTACAATATTATAAAAAAAAAGTAAGACAAGAGGTAATATAATTATATAAAAAGGTAGGGTAAAGGATAAAATAAGATTTTTTTAATTATAAAAAGGGCAAGATGAGAGGAAAAAATAAGAAAACGACGCGACCACACCAAATTGGTCATTCCATAAAGTGGCACTTTTCGTCGTTACGTAACGACAGATTTAACGATACGATATAATAAAATTTAAGTAACAATCAAAACAAATATTATATTTAAAGTAACAATACGATATAATACAACAAGTAACAATTATCAAAACAAACTTGGTTCTCACATTTGGTCACCTAATTCTATGAGTAAAAGAGTACATACATCCATAACTTGCTTAAGTTCAACGTTACATGCATATTATGACTGGGCCATTACCTCGAGTTACCAATCTTGATCTTTCTCTTTGTCCTAGAATTACAGGCGCTTCAATTCACTCACAATTACAACTAGTTTATGCAAGAAAATGTTGAGGTCAATCAATCTATCAAGGTCTAAGTTTTTTACCCATGTGAGGTTGTCCAATTTGGTGTTAAACTGTGGGAATTTAGTTGAAATTAACTTGTCAGATGCCATTGAGTTGGAGGATATTGCTGCCTTGCTGGTGCTGCATTAGTTGAATCAAAGAACTTGGATGAGGTTGTGGTTATTGGTGAGGTATAAGTCTATAACATATATTGGACTTGGTTGAATAGTTGTGGGCTGCAGGAAGTTGAGGTTTTTTTTTTCTCTTTTTAAGTTTCTTAGCCTTAGATGCTATTTGGGTGTTAGTGATTTAGGCGGGGGTTTAATTGCTTGTAAATATTAGAAGATTCGTAGTTTGGATCTTTGTTACCTGCCGGTAATGGAGCTTTTCTTCTATTTATTTTGATTTTCCTTGTACTAAGGAGGTGATGATGACGGTTGTTAGGTGAAGGGGGAGGTAATTGGTAGAAGAAAAGGTGGAGGGAGTGGTAAAATAGGGTTGGGAGGTGAGGTGGCATGTCATGTGGCGTTCACCTCAACATAATGTTAGGCCACACAGGTTGATATTAGCCATGGTGGAAGGCCCTAACGGAGGAGGGGTATTTTTGCATCACTTTTGTAACGTTAGGGGTAATAGCGGATCAAAAGTAGAACAGAGGGCATAAGTAATACTTTTCACGTAGTAGAGGGATATTTTGCACCACTTTTGTAATGTTAGGGGTAATAGCGGACCGAAAGTAGAACAGAGGGCATAAGTGATGCTTTTCACGTAGTAGAGGGATAGTTTTGACCCTTTTCTCTAAAAAAACAAAAAATGGTCACCATCCCCTTCTTCTTCCTTTCTTCTATCAGAAGTAGCACAACAACTAACATTGGAGATTTAGATAATTCCTACTGGAATAGGAGCCAAATGATTGTCATAACCAAACTCCTGGACGGTAGAATTATGGTTCAAGTCCAGGGAATGTACCTGTTGTTCACTTCTAATACTCAGAATTAAACGACGGAATGAGGCAAATAGCATCGAAGAACCACAACTATCTGAAGAAGGCATTTGTAACCCAATATACAGAACCTCCTCATAATATTTTCCCTTTAACTAAATAATACCTCCTCAAAATCTTAAAATCAGCTAAACTCAGAATATAACATATAATTCAGATAAAATACCTTCAACCATTGCAATTTACACAACACCAAACAAGGGGAAAAAGTCCATTGACGGAAGAAAAAACAGCATGCCTAAGTCTCAATATTGCAATCCTATAAATTTTTCAAAAGGAAACCAAAATAAAAACAAGACTATACACCATAATTCAGCAAAGTTTATACTAAAAGGTATCATTTTAAGCGTTTCAGCAGTTACAATTTCAAACGAAACACAAATCTACTTCAAATTCAAATACTACAAATCAACAACCAAAGGAGCATTGATTTCTTCCATCTTGAATGCTAGCAAATAGCAATAAACATGCCATAGCTATGAAATTGATCAACTTTACTTCCCTGCAAACCCCAAAAAGCAATGTAGCAGAATGCAGACAATCATCTATTATAATTGGAAGACAGACTGCATGCATCTATATTGAAATTGTAGAAAATTCATAGAAAGATAGAAATTGATTTGCGTAATTTATTCACATACAAAAACAGAGCCCTCCAAACCCAAAACAGATATGACCCTGCAAATCGATGGGTAATTTATTCACATACAAAAACAGAGCCATCCAACCCAGAACGGATATGAGCCTAGAAAGTACAAAAGACAAATCAACTTGAGAAAGCTATTGAGGATTTTTCATATTCAATTTCCATTTAAGAACAATAATAATAGTACCCCCATAAAGCGGATAAACATAGAGAAATCAAATTTTATGTTTAAGTGCTATAGAAAATAATAAGAAGAACCAACTGATAGATGACTCCCAATTTCAAGAAAAAACTAAAAGCTTAATATAATCCAACATCTGTCAAAATGGAAAGAGAAAAAAAAAAGAAATTACTTTAGTATAGTTTATCTATTGACATGAGGTCCTAGTTCTTTTCGCCATGCAATCACAAATTAGGACTTTGTTGTTATTTTTTAAGGGTATTTCGGTATTTGAGTTTTATAGCCTGTTTGACCAAGCTTTTTTTGGTCAAAAGTGCTTTTGGCCAAAAATTGAGGTGTTTGGCTAAGCTTTTAGAAGGAAAAAAGTGCTTTTGAGGAGAAGTAGAAGCAATTTTTGAGAAGCAGAAAAAAAAAAGTAGCATCTATCCGAAAGCACTTTTCTGAGAAGCACTTTTGAGAAAAATACACTTAAAAGCAGTTTTTAAAAGCTTGGCCAAACACTAATTACTGCTCAAAAGTGCTTTTCGAATTAGAAGCTTAGCCAAATAAGCTATTAATTGTAGACCTCTCATTTTCGTCGTGTTTAGCAGTTTTATTTGTAGGTGTTTACCCTCAAAATCGGATAACAATTGAATTTGTAAGTGGTTTTAAGGATACGTGGATTAACTTGATACAAAAATGATAAATCAGATTGTAATTGAAATAAGTAATGGAAAAGTAAACGCAAACCACACAAATTGAACAGTCTTAGCCCTGGAGAATTAATCACCCTCGAACTAGGTACTTCGATCGATATCAAGACAGAAGAAATGAGAGCTTTAAAGAGAGTAGTAAGAATTTAAGGAGAATAATAATGTTTTGCTTTAGAATGCGTGTTACAATGTGTTCAATGGATTATCATATTCCCTTTTATGTAGTAGAGGAGTCCTACTTTAAGTACAATTCTATAAAAGGTAAAAAATCTTGTGATTTGCTGATTGTTGGTTCCTTATTGATACGTGCTGAGATTCCTGCCGTAATATCCGACCGGTCACGTATATTTTGATCTTCTGTTGGTTATGCTAACAATGTTTCTTCGAGCTCAATCGGGGCTAAGGTCCACTCCGGTGTTACGGACTCAATGTTCTCGAAGGCAAGCGTCATGACCCCGGGTTCTAGCTCGATAGGACTCGGGATCGGTCTTCAGTCTTTGGTTGTCACGTTCATAATCTGTCATGTCAGAGTCGAGCTCGATTTCGACCGTACACAGTTAGTCCCCTCATTTTTTAGAGAGTAGACGATGAGAAACGACATGAACTTCTAATTCTTTCTTCGATATCACACGACATAAACGACAAAATAGTCGAAACGTCTTGTCAATCAAGTCTAAACGGCATTAATGCTTGTCAGTTGCTGGTCGGCCACTCCCAGATGTGAACCGTTGCTGAAAAACTATAAATACCCCCTCATTCGTTCATTCAAACTTTACATTCAAACCTTTTTCCCTCGTTCCTAAAAAATTTCAATACTTCCAAGTACTTATATTTTGGTTACTTTCAGATCTTTTATAAGAACTCTTATTCGACTTTTTCCCAAACCACCGAGTGTACTCTTTTAACTTTCTCTTTTTCCTTATTCCTTCTCTATAAAGAAATGGCGAAAACTTCCAAAACCATTCCCCAAAAAGAAACTCCTTCTACCTCGTGGCCGGCAACCGAAGAGATTGCTTCACGTACTGCTGTCGAGGAACCAGCAACGGAACCTCCTCTAAAAATGTTCATCCC